CTTCTCCTGAAAAGTTGTATTTCGCAAATTTCGGTTGACTTTACTCCAAAACTCTTTATCTAATTAAAACGATTATGTTTTTCTTTTCTTTTTGTATATCAATATTACCCAAATAACCTAGCGAGTAATATATTTCAAAAACTCCCAAGAATAGAGAAATAATTTGTGTGTGCGCTGGTCGGTTGTAATACAATAAAATAAAGTACTAACTTGCCAACAGTTTTCCTGACTTTCTCGACAACCAAGGTGGAGAACAGCTTAATCGCTAAAACCTGGAATAACTTTGGCCAAAGGTAAAACAACTCTATAAGTTACTATATTATAGTCGAGGGTCTGTCCGAACTGTGATGTATCCGATGCGGGAGGCGGCACTCTCTTTGTTTTGTACGCGATAATTCCCAATGCGTAAAAATAAAAATTCTTCTTAAAAATACCTCAAGTAAAACAGCTGTTGGTGGCTAATAAACTAGTGGACTGTATGGAAGCGAACAGATATTTGGATGCAGGACTAGACAAAACGAAAACGAATATGGGGTGGGAGCAGAACTAGGATTACCTAGGTGAGAATTTTAGACTAGCGGCATTTAGGGAACAAACGGGAAAGGGAACGTTGGGTTTGCAGACAATGGGTCTAAGCCACCTTACCAGTTTATTCTCAAATAAAATTCCATCAGCTAGGCCAGGATTCGAATCCAGGAACCGCTAGCGTGGCAAGTATGAATCGGACACCTTAAGCACTCACCGCGGTACAACCCACCGAAATTGAATGATTTGTTCGTTTTTTAAAGGACTACACGTGAAGACTCCCTCCTGAGAAAGACGAGTTCCCACTTTGGCAATGCAAATGGGTCACAACAATCAACAACAAATTACGGGAAATAAAAGACTCAACGCAGAAACGGCTTTCATCGTACCATACGAATAGAATATACGATACGGCTCTTTGCAGACTTAGGATCAGACATACAAGACTGACCCATGGTCCAGGGAATCCCCAACTATCTGCTCGGTATGTAATGAGGACTTGACAGTAGAACACATACGTACCACATGTTACTGTTATACCACAGAAAAAGAAAGAATAGAGTTCGAAATGCCATTGTTCCTGCATGAGATGCTGGGTTATAGCGCCCCCCTCGTTTCTCTCTTTAAACTTTTAGAAAGAACGGAGCTGATAAAAAAATATAGTACAGTAGAATTGGGGTCGATAGGGGAGGGCTTGAATGTGGGAGCGCCCTTGAATGGATGATTCGTTCGGGGATGCTTCGCGGATCGGATGGGTGAGCACCACGGGCAGGTTTAGTCCCGGGTCAGTTGGGGGGAGGGATGCGAACTTTTTCATAACGCAATAAATGCAATATGAATGGTTTTATCTACATCCCACAAAACACGTCCGTAGTCATAAGAGAGAACAAATCCTCAAAAAGACGAGTGCTTACACATCCAGTTAGCGGCGATGGCTCGGCTGTCTCTTGGGTAGATGTTGTTCCCTGGCAACCTTTCCTTTCCTTCTCTACGTTCAATCATTCGACAGGAATACCAACTTGTAACTGAATATCAAGAAGCCGGCCTAAATGGCCCATTGTGGTTGAAGGCCATTTAAAAATAAAATAAATATATTAAAAAACACGATTCATCATGGAATTTTTCAAATGTTAAAGAAGTTCAACCAGGTGAAATAGGAATATTTCACTTGATTATACACATTGTTCTCAACCTATATAGAAAGAAGAGAATCTAGGTAGTTTTCTTTAGTTTTCATTAACAAACAACCCGCGTTTCTCGAATCGACGAAGAACACAAAAAAACAATGCGATCAAATCCGATTTCAGCTAAGACCCTGGCAAAGACATTTTCCTTAAACGTGCAATGACGTCGCAAATCGGAATAACGTGATGTCGTTAGTACGTTCGGACACGTAGTTTTTTCTTCAAACGAGAAAATGAGGTCATTAACACGTTCTTCCGCTCTGCTTAAATTGTTAACACGATCTTTATATAATTTCTGACCCAAGCATCGTCGAAATATCAGTTTGATGTCGTTTACAACAGCGTTGTTTTTATACGTCAAGTGAAGTCGTGAATATTTACAAATTTTAAAATAAAACAACCTGACTCTATAAAATAAACAAAATTTGCACTAGGACGTAAAGAATCACCCAGTGGTGACACTTCTAGTGGTGTCGACGTGCCCAACAGGTCGCGAGGCCACTGCCGCTTTAACCTCCTTGGGATCATTAGGGGGTACAATGAAAGGAAGTTTTGGAATTTTATGACATTTTTCACAAAAGGAATATTAATGTCATTGTGGATTGTGTGATTGGATAAGTTGAAGTTTTTATTTATTTATTTTTTCAATTATTTTTCGGAGAATTTTGGATCGGGAAATCAGGGTGCGATGATAGTTGGAATGTTTGTTTTGAACCCCACAAGCCGTTCGTCCAGATGGGTTGAATTATCGTCTCTTATATCAGTCTTTGTTGGGAATCAGTTTTGATCTTTTTTCTAGATGTCATGAGAATGTTTTGTAACTCTAGTCAGCTCCTTATTTTTTAGTCTTGTATGTAGATTCCAAGTCAGTCTTTTGTCGATATACTGCCTAAGGGAGCCGACGTGGTTAAATATAAGAAGAAATTATATGATGTAGGTATAGTGGTGGCATTATTCCACGTCGGGGGGGGGGTAAATGCTATGTGTTGGCGGGAGAGGACGGGACTTTTATTTAAGGATAAGATATCAGAATCCGCAATGGTGTGAATGGATGTGTCGGGATGGATAGGGAGGTCAGTAGTATTCGTTAAGTATAGAATGGGACCAAGGATAACCTTCAGGACTGAACAAAAGTCTTATCTAGATTTCCGACTTTCTACAACTCGTCCAGCATCATCTTTCTATCCTTCCAGTCATCCTTCTCTGAGCATTTTACAGGATACCTAATAGGTATTTGGACCTATTGCACCTACATGGAATTCCACATTTCCTAGAGCTCTAGGTCCAAACTTGCCAAGAGAAGGCAGGACACATCCAGCCACGATCACGCCAACGGAACAACAACTACTATCATCTACTATTCAAACTTTAAACCAGCTCTACTTAAAGCTTGGAGAACGTACTTCACTATTATTTATCTGTAGCATTGACTTGTACCCAGAAACATGGCACAACTCATTCAACATAATTGTCTATCCTGGTGCATCGTAAGTAACCGCCACTTGAAGGTTGTCCATTCCTTTTTAACTAAACCTTACCAATTTCGTGATTTGATATTAATCTATAAAAACCTGCGCTCGTCTTTCATCAGCCAATACTCATGAAACCAAGATTTTCTTTTTGGTGAATACCCACACAAAAGACACCAGTGGTATAGAATTTCGATACTACATTTAGTTATTTTTCTTTTAGTCTTCTTTTAGGATGGTAAGTGGTGTAGAGCACCCATTGGATAGCAAAACATGGAAATGCCAACGTTTCCTAGAACTGCAGGTCCGAACTTGCCAAGAGAAGACAGGACACCTTCAGTCACGACCAGGGAAACGGACCAACCACCACCATCATCCTCCATTCACGCTTCAAACTTGCTCTACATAAAGCTTGCAGTACGGTAGTGGAAACGACCTGACGGACCAGTTCATTGAGATGTGCGGTAAGGATGGCAAATTCTGGATTTTTCATCCTCTCTTGAATAAAAGCATTGTTGTCCAGGTTCCTTAAGCTCACGATTTGTTCGACCTTTCGTAAGACCTTTTATGGCTTGGGGACGTTTGGCTCGTCTGTCGAGTAGTGATGTTAATAGTTTATTGCAGTGTAATCCGCCTAAGAGCCTATTGGACCAATCGAGATCGTATTGCTGGTTTTTAATGCAGTAACGAGATTTTAATTCAAGAAAAGGTCAGAAAAAGTGGATTGGATGATTCCTGGAGGATGGGAATGTCATCAGTATATATCGTATAAAGGAGAGGTCCAAGCTCCATTGTAGGGCGCCAACTTAGGACAGATGGTGGATATCCCTGTACCATGTCTACTCTGAACTAACGGTGAGACGGATATTACGTTAGGAAAAGTAGTAGGCATCTTTAGTTTTATAGAATCCAAATCTTGTTTAAAGCTTTAAATTTTTTTTTTTTTAATTGGCCTTATGATCTTGCATATTAGCCATAGTACGAATTCTTGTGTGTTCAAATTGGGGGTTATCGGGAAAAAAGGGCCAGAGGCGACGGTGGGAATCGAACCCACGACCGCGGCGTGAGAGTCTCTCATGCTAACCACTCGGCTACCGCGATCCCCAAATTTAAATTTAAATCTTAAAGAACCTGGGCAACCCCACTTCTGCCCAAGGGAGAACGAAAAGGGCATTTTTTGGGATTCAATGATGTCGTGGTATTTTAATTCAAAAAATTTTATTCGCTACTGAAAGACTGATAGGTTGTAAGACAAAGGAAGAATGACTGGTTTGGTTTATGGAGAAGATAGATAGAAAATGTACAAAGGACATTTGTTGTTCGCGGAAGTTAAAGAAGGAAAATTAAGCTAAGGAGGAGATTACAAAGTCATCTTTTTGGACTATATAAGTGTACAGAGGGTTGTGATGGACAGCTGGGCAAAGAAACCGAACTCCATCGGACTTCACACAAGAGCCATTTCAGTTTAATAACTTAATCATTTAGGACCGATTTAGCCCAGAGTCATTTATCATCATTATAACAAATTTGTAAATTACAGTGCATCATTAATAAGTACTCACTACTCTTGAAAGCCCGATATTATACTGTAATAATGACATAACATTTCCATGCGCATCATTACTCTACATACAAGCAATGTAAAAGATTTAGAAGAGTCGTAGAAGAAGAGAACAAAAATATTCTGAGTTTTTCCAACTTTAGATTTATTGATTTAGAATCAAAAAGGAAATCAACCATTTGTACAAAATGTTATATAAAAATTTATTTATTGTTTAACATGCCGCATTCGCACAGCCGAAAAAAAGTAAGTAAAACTTACCGTCCATCTGAACGTGAAATGAAGTCTAAGCGTCGTTTCGTCAGGATTCGTCAGAGTGAACGAGTTACCGCCGAGGATGGGGCTGGATGTGTTACCGAATGAACAGGATCCACCGGCGGCAACGTTGCTCTGATATTCTTTGAGGCAAAGCCTAAAGAACGTCAAACATTGAGTTTTACAAGGGAGCGGAGGCTGTGGCTTTCCACCTCCGCAACATCCGTCCCTCCGGACTCCCATGTAGTTGGACACTTCGAGGATCTCCACCTCCATGTATCCGGAACATTGCACCTCCTTGAAACAAAACAAAAACGATCACATTGTTACACTTCGACAAACTAATTTTTATATGAGTATCAAAAGAAATATGAGTTTTTTCAAATCGTCATTAATTTGTTTTTTGCCAAGCCATTGCATCGGGCCGTATAAATTATTGTCATCGACGTCGACTCAAAAAAAAATTGGTTATATTTTGAAAATTCACCTTTTTGGATTAAGATAGAAGGAGATCTTGACTCCTCGAGTCCATTATCGTTTAAGGCGAGATGATTAATTCTTAGGATGGGAAAATGTTGACAAATCTAGGGCAGTTGGATCAGGATACATCGTCAAAAGGAATGTTATGAGGTTACTGATGTAGTAAATAGCTTTGAAAATTGATTGGAAGGATGCGCTGGATACCGAACGGCTTGGGGTTGAAGTTCTACTTCACATGCTCAAAGTTGTCGTGGTAATGTGCCTCCCATATGCCTCGGAAATCTGCAGAATCCAGTCAGCATTCTTACAATCAAAATAGGTTTAGTAGTTCTGCCGTTAGATTCTGCGATGGTCTTAACCCATTGTCTGATGAATCTACGGTTTTTGTCATTTGGTATGACGCAGCATGGTCCAGGAAAAATGGGTGTCCTGCTAGAATGCACTAGTCTTGGATATGCTCAAAGTGTTCATGGATTTGCAAGCTACTCGAAGAGACGATTGCGGTATTACCCATTAAAATACAAATAGTGTATAGGATGGGACCAAAAGTTCTGACTTGTGGGACGTAGTTTGTATTGTCTTTGCCTGGTCTTTCATCTGAGTATTCGTTGTATCTCACTCTAAAGCCATGATGACTTAACAAGGGATGACTTAACAACGCAGTCAACGTTGGTAATGATGGTATTAGTGTGTATAAATAAGTCAGCAGTAGAAAGAACTTATGCTGAACCCACTATCGGATTTTGGGCTTAACCGAACGCATAATAAGGTTTTATGAAACGCTTCACACAACTAAAGCACGCTCGGTCGAGTTCGGTCTGAATGCAACGGCGTTAACTGATAATGCCAGTTACAATGTGTAAGGTGCTTGCCGATCGATGAAATTGATAAGCACACTCAACTATTACGCAACACTGTTAAACTATGTTAAACTCGTATCTTTCTTTCTCTCATAGCACTCATAAATGAGCTTAACGAGTCGCAGTTAGGTTGGTATAGACATGTCTGATTTTAAAGTAGTTGGAAGACCATTCGAAAACTCCACTTTATAGGTAGATTTTGTATGTTTGATAAATTGTCATAATTCATCTCCTGTCTAGAGCACATTTTAATCTTTGGTTTTTTGCCACATCCCAAAGCTTAGACCTCACGTGTGTCTCTCTCTTTTAGGCCTCGGCTTTATTTTTTTCAAGGAAAATCTCAGCCCGCATAGGATTTCGCACTAACAGACATGGTTCGATGTTTCTTTCTCTTCCTGGCAATATCTGCACAGGTTTTTTCTGCTGCTCCCAGTACATATGCCTCCGGAGTCTGCAGTGTCCAGTCAATACTCCTACTATCAATCTAATTAGTAGGTCCTACGTAAGTTTCAGCAATATCTTTTAACGAACTTTTTCGCTTGCCTCTATCCTGGAATGCATTCTTATTGTACCGAGGACTTATTTATAATCCATTGTCTGATGGATCTACGTTTTTGGTTATTTTGTATTACGCAACATGGTTCATGGCCAATAGCTGTCCTGACTGCACTTTGGTCAATTTATCAGACTTCTTGTTATTTCTCTGTACGCCCTGAACTATTATTTATTACTAGGGAAAGTTTTTCCTCATTTATTCTCCACATTTTGCTTCAGTCCTTGATGAGCTCAAGGTGTTATTGGATTCTTGGATAGAATTCGGGCTAATAGATAAAATTTCCATATCATCCGCATAAAGGTAATGATGGTGTTGGAATGTGTTTGTAAGTTAGCAGTATAAATGTAGAGAATGGAATTAAGAACAATTTTCCTAATTCAGTGTTGTGCTCCACGGTGTGCTCCAGTTTGCGATAAGGTGTTGAAGGATGTTCGAGGTTAATATATTAAATCTTGTGTTCCAATGTGTGCACCAGTCTGCGATAAACTCAAATGTTCATGAATGTTGGAGGGTAATTGAATAGAAGCCGAAATTGCGGTATCACACCTCAGTGATGGTGAAGGGATGCGTAGGGAAGTCAGCAGTACAAGTGTTATACAGAATAGGACCAAGAATGATTCCTTGTGGGACGCCGGCTTGTGTTGGCTGATAAATTAAATTAAATACGGCAGTGAAATACGATTCCATGGTAATAAAGGGTTCGTAGGAAGCGTTGGGAATGAAGGTATTAATGTGTATTGATAAGTCTGCAGTATAAAGAGCTTAGTCATAACCTGTTATCTGATGGATCTATGTTTTTAGGCAATTTGGTACTGCAAAATGGTTTCTGGCGGATGGATATTTGTCCTGACTGACCTTGTTGGCCCTCTGTCCTGTATTCTCTGGTACCCCACAAGGGTGATTTTTTCCTCAATCCCAAGCAAATCTGGACTGTGATTGTATCATTAGTGTCGTCTGGCTGTCCTATGACTAGTTTGGCATTGGTAATACCCCACTTTTTGATATTCTTGGCACAGTATTCAGTGAAATACTGTGGCATATTGCCCAAGCCTTATATGAACTATCGTTGGTTTATTTTGATGCCTGGTGCTAACCATAGCCGGCCTTATCTGTGTAACAGATATAGTCGATACTAACTGGGATCCATTTTTCCCAGTCTGCTCAATGACGGCAATGAAATCCTACAAGTTTCAACCTTTTAGTTGTTTACAATTTACTTTTCTTCGTGTCTACACAGTTACGCAGCGTAGCCTCGCCCAAATAGATTGTTTTATCAGTCGTGTAAGAACGTGAGGACACCACTTCGTAATAGAATATTCATATGACACCATATGTTCGAGTGGATGACGAAAAAAGGACTAGTGTCACAGCGCTACTGAAGGGGATATGTCATTAATGATCCTCAACCGCCCTCGCACACTCGACTATTAACATATGAATGTCACACAACGATGTAGAGAAAAAAAACCAAACGAGTAGGACATTAGCGATGTACTCGTACAAACAGGAAGTTCCACCTTGAACGAAATGCAGACTCATCCTTTCTAAGAGTATAATTAGGGCGGTGACTATGGACGGTAGGGAACACTATAAAGGAATCTATGTTTTCAAAACAAAGTACCGACCATTGCAGTAAATAGACAAGATCGTTTATTAGCGAGGGTGACTCGCACTTTATTAACAGGTCCACTACATCACCAAAACGAGCCCACGCCTTTGCTCAAAATAAAATTGGATAGAAAATATGGACTCTCATCACAATGCAGGCATGCGGCATACATATCCATTTTTACATTCATTTTTAACTGCAAAAGCGTGAAAGAAACTGTACAAACAAACATTATTTGCTTTGTACAACATCCAGGGGAAGACACAGTTGCAAACTTGTTTGTCACCGACCCCTTAATTGATTTATCTTATGTGTTCCCTTTTCATTTACATCCTCCTAGTGATACTGCTAATGACATTCATACCTTTAATACACAAAGGTCACACATTGTCATTACTATTTATCATGAAGACCAGTGATTTAATAATTTTACTCCTAGAGCTCTGCAGCTGAAGTTGCCCGAACGATTTTATATTGAAGCATTTGACAAGTTAACGAACCACTCGCTGGTTCGAAAATTTTAATTCTGGGGATAGCAGTCACACAACACAACATTCAGAGTGGTTAGACCTTTTGTTTGAACAATACCTTGAAGTACCTCAAAGTGGTTCGAAACAAATTGGATTATGCTGACAATAGGAGACTACGAATGTCTGATCATCGATTTCAATTATATATTTTCTTGTGATCCTAGATCGAAAGTTGACACGTGTCAGAGCGTTCTAGCATATGTTCCCCCAGGAGTCGAGAGTAGAATTTTTTGTATGGTTTTCCTTTGTTCAAATATTTTAAGATTAAGATACATATCAGTCGATTTCTTATTTTATATAGAATAGAAAAATTATCCAGAATCGTATTAAATGTGGTTGAATATAGAAAAAGTAACAAAAATCAAAAGACGCTTTGAGTAAAATATGCAAAAAAATTTCGTGAGAAAAAGGCCTGTGTTCTAGGTAATTTTTTAAAAAATCTCCTATGGATTTTATCCGAACTCACCGTTATTACAACTACTGAAAAGTTTAATGTTTCTTCTCTAAAGCTATGTAACAACGGTTAGGTTTTATACCATTATTAAAAAAAACTAAGGATGAAAGCAACAAGTATTCATCAAAAATTTCAATTTATATCCCCAGTTCTATTTTTTTTTATAACTAAGTTTATATGCTTATGTGTTGTTTATATGGCTCTATACTCCTCCAACGTTTCTTGAGAATTGATGAAGGTGTTTCCAACTTATTATCATTTTTCGAAAAATACTGCAGGTACATGAAAGCAAAAATTTGAAAAACAAAAATATCCTTTTGATTTTCCCAAAAGTTTGTATTCAGGGTTTTCTTAAGGCGTAGAAAATGAATATCGACTTTGCTTCTTACTAAAAAAATATTTTTGCCTGCTTGCTACGTCCCTCAGTTGCTAAATACTCATGTATTGCAATAGATCCCTGGAATTTGGTCGCATTAATTCTTTACAAGTTTTTGCCAAGTAAAAAAGTTAAAATATCATTTTCTAGACTACTACGACTTACGGACAAGAACGTTCGGACACTTATCAAATATTTTACGACATAGTTTCACGGAAAAAATTTTCATTAAAATCCAGACGGTATAGATATATATTATAAACTTTCAACAACCACCTCCAACATTTTGTCAACAGTTTGGGCGATGAACTCTTCAACGTGTCTTTGGCAGCCATCCAACGATTCGTGAAGTGCTTTCCATTACTTTTGCAAAGCTGCCGATGATGGTACAAGGTCTTTTGTGGATAGGTATCCCAGCTATTAAATCTTAGT